CTTCTTTGTTCTCTTCACCTCGCTTCTGACACCATGTAGTCTAGTCAGAGTCTAACAAGCAACTGTTTTATTAGGAGCGGAGCATGAGCTTATATACTCAGCGCGCTAGTAGCTACAGCGCCGACGGCCGGGATTATGACTGGCCCATGACACGCGTACAACTTCGAAACGGACAGGACAGGGGCATATCACAAGTCACGGAAATGATGACGTGCTTTAAGAAACTTTTTTAAAAAGTCGCGTGGCGGAACAAAACAATTTGTATTTTCACGCACTCGCTTTTTTTGTTAAAACTACGTGATGCACGAACACCCCAACCAGAACTATGGGGCAACAGCAGCACCGGGGCATACAATCTCTGCCACCATCTTTCCCCGCTTCTCTGATTCTTCGTTCGTCCGCGAGGGGACGAGCGACCAGCTGGTGTTCCGAATAGAATGATCAAAGGCTGTGAACAGCCTCCAACCTCCACGGAATGGCATTGCACCCGAAGGGCGCCAACTCGGCCATCGAACCTAAGCCCTACGTCGCACGTCCTTCGATGCATTGTTTGAACACTAGGCCCTAGCCCAAGGCTGATGCAACACTCATGACCAGTGTGTGTCCAGGCTCGATGTCACCGAGATTCGTTGAAGTACTAGTGCCCGGGTCTTCATTATTGTAAACTTTTTTCACGCTTTCGGTCTGAACGCAGTCGACTAGTGAAACCACTCCGAAAGCACAACGTCGCGCCGTTTGCCGTCTTTCTTTTCATGGTTATACGCCGACTAATTCAACCAAGAGCAAAGAGTGCGACGCGTTACTTTGGGTTTATGTTATGTGTGCATGCGTTTTTGCGCCTCCTTGGCTTTGACAGCGCCCGGACGTAAGTAAAAACAGTGTATAGGAGGTGTTGGCTCGGAGCTTGCCTGGAAATGGCTCAAGCTTTCCTCTAATGAGCCGGCATTTCTGAACATGTCCGGTAATCCTGTCATCATCAGATCGGGTCCCGACTGAAACTGCTGCTCTAACCGCAAGCGCCGCGGAGACGAGTTGCTACAGTCTCAGAAACTTCAAAAACCTTTTCTGTCTGGTGCTCATGTACCCCTCACTTTAAAGGCTCGTTCACACAGATGCGTTTGACTTCGTTTGACTGCGTTAAGACTGCTTGCGTCAAGCTGTTGCTATGGCAACTCTTACAACGAGTCAATGAGGAGGCGCTGTGCTGTACGACGCAACGCAGAGCAACGCAGTCGTCACGGCTGTGTGAACGAGCCTTAATGGCGCGTTCACACTTGCGGATTCGCGGGAGTCCGCGCTGGCGCAGAGTGAATCTTGGAGCCGGGGGGTGAAATCTACCTGTCGGTGGTGGAATACTTGGATCAGTCCAGAACCCGTATCCAAATTTACCACCAGCGACGAATCGGTTTCGCCACCCGGCTATGAAATCCACTTTCCGCTACGCGGGAATTCATCTCGAAAATCCTCAAGTGCAAACGCGACATTACAAACAGACATCAAAGGCGTTGTCGTTGTCGCAAAATATCACTGAAAATGTTAGCAGTTAATGCACAGAGTTCATTGATTTTCAATACGCGTTTTCTCGGATTTCGCGGCTGTTGATATTTGCGAGTCACGTTGTCAGGTCATCCATGAACCAATGTTTTATTAGAGCTAGCAACAACCAGAAAGGAGTGTAGTCAGGCTCACTACGAATTGAAAAGGTTGTGGCAGTAAATTAGATATATCTTATAAATGCAAATACCAATATGCTTAAAATAATTTCATAGACCTGGTTAAAGACTCATAAAAATGTTTCGTCGTATAATACTTATAAACAAAAGGCGCTGTTTTCATGGCCCAGAAATGACCTGAGGTCTAAAATTTCGAGGAAGTTGAGTAGCTCGTAAGAATAAAATAATTTCAGGTTAATAGTTTGTAATAGCCTGGCTGAAATCGGTATTTCATATTTCGCATGTCTAGCGCTAATATTTTTATTCACATTTTCTGCAAATTTGTTCTAATTGAGCTCGAGCGAATGCACTCCTCAGTTTTGCTTTAACTATTCTCACGCTCGGCCTACTTAAAATGGTGTTGCTCCCACTACGTTTGATAACTAGAAAACGAGTAGCCCTTCCAGCTCGGATGAATACGCCTCGCAAGTGGGCTCATTTTCGTCTTCTGCGCATGAGAAAGGAAGTAGCGGTGACGTCAGAACGCCGAGCCCTGAATGGCTGATCGCGACCCCCTATATGAGCGTCGTCTGCTCCTTTGCAACGTCGTCTGCTCGCAACGTCGTCTGCGTCTGTCTTACCTTTCCTGCGACTTTCGGAAGTGCAGGTCTTTATGAGCGAGCTCGACTTCGCCTTTCAGAGAGGGCAGACGAAATAACTCGAGCGGTACGTTGTTTTTGTCGAACAACTAGCAGATGCGCATCAAGAAGGGAAGTCAAAGGACTTACTGGCGAGGTGTCCCGAGGCGCCGAGGTTTGTTTGGTAAGAACGGAAAATCAGCGTATTAGTGGCCGCAAGTTCCCTCCCAAATACGTTTTCCCTCCTTTCGTGAGCGGCGAGACCCCTCATTCTTTAACGGCGTCGGCGGGTTGGCGCAGTTAACGTCGTCTGCTTTACGTCTGCTAGTCAAAGCGATGGCTGCTTTACCTTTCCTGCGCCTGTCGGAGGTTCACCGCTTTTTCACCGGCGACAGTCACCGTTGCCTCGGGAAACAAGGAGATAACAAGAGAAACAAATTGACCTCTTAATCTAAAATGAAGTCAGCGATCAAAGTATGATACGGGAAGGGTTCACAAGGGTCGTGCTGGCATATTCCATTTAGCACGCCAGCCGGTCGTGGGCAGACGGTCGCCGAGTCGCGGAGTGCCTGCTAGGCCTAACTGCCGTGCTCGCTTGGTCGCGTTCGGTGGAATCGTGGCCGTTGGAGCTTTTCCCGGGTGTTTGTGGATCCAGCGTTCTTGCTCGTCGTGGTCTGTTTCAAGTACTTTTTACGTTTTTCTTGCTGCTTGAAGTTGGAACGCGTGAGAAGCGCACGTAGAAAAATAAAAGTCCGTTGGTCGTCGCGACCGCGAAGCTGTCGGCCTTGCCGATTTGATCGTAATTAGTGCGTAAGACAGCTTCGGAGCTGTTTTAGGATTTCGTCATAACCTGCGCAAAACCTGCGAAAATTTTGTTTCGTGAATACGAATTCGTTCTTAACTTATGTCTTACGCACATTTTGGCGTAAGATCGTTTCGTGAATCTGGCCTCTGCACTTCCGAAAGTCGCAGGAAAGGTAAGACAGGCGCAGACGACGTTGCGAGCAGACGACGTTGCAAAGGAGCAGACGACGCTCAGATTGGGGGGTCGCGATCAGCCAATCAGAGCTCGACGTTCTGACGACACCGCTACCCCCTGCGCAAGGAGCAGACGAACTTGCCCTCCGCATAAGAAAACTCTCGGCAAACATAACATTTTACGCTCAATAACGTCTCCGATGGCGCTACTTGTCGAAATAAAAAAGCATTTGCGATGCTGCTAATAAAGTAAATGTACTTCATTTTCCAAAGCCTTCAGGAAACTCTCCACCCTTTATGAGGAGATAGACTGGAAGGTGGAACATCCCGTTTTGTTGATTTATTTTATGGTAATTCATGTAATACGTGTAACCTCCCAGTCTTACTAAACAGCTAACAGGGCATTACATAACACAAGAATAAATTTCCAAAAAATCACTTGGTCGCATTGCTTTCAACATACGAATTACTATTATCTTCATATTTGTCTTAATATTTTAAATTACTGTTGTCTAAGTATACTATTTTACGATAAGGAAAGAGGAACATTTAAGACAAACAGACAAGACACGAAAGCCTGTCTTGTCTGTTTGTGTTAAATGTTCATCTTTCCTTATCGTAAATTAATAACCAACACGCTCAACCATCTATAGTATACTATATTTATTGATGATCTAAACTCTACTGTATTTTTTATTTTTATACTTTTTGAAGTTTATTTTGACTCTTCCGTGCTTTCACTTTTATATTCTCTATTAGAGTTTAATTGTTTTTTTATGTCCAGATTTGGAATCTTGATGTTTGTTGTACTTCCTGAAATTTGTCTTGAGGTCTAATACGTTTATTGTTGTAATTAATTAAGTCTATGTAATATTTATACGACGTATGCTCGCGTTTCCCTATTCTGCAGCTGTAGGTGGACACAGAGATTGTCAAGTCGCTATGGTGACTTTTTTTTTCCTCCTACTGCTGGAGAATATTAAGGTTTAATTTCATTTAATGAAGCACCTGATACCTCGCGTACAATTTTTTATGAAACTTCACATCACGTAATGTAGCGTTCTGCATAAGAAAATATATTGTAGAGATATTTTCCTTTAAATTATTTACTTAACTGCGTTAAAAGTATTCTAATCAACCTGCTTTTTTGTGCCGTTACTGCAGCGTTGGGAAGGAAAATGTAAACAAAGTTGTCCACTAAAAAAAAAAAAAACTGAATTGTTTTTTTGTTTTTTTTTGTTGGGGTAGGAAACATTTATTTTAAAGTGGGTTTCAGAATTTCTGAGAAATGAAACCTCAAAAGTGGGTTTCAGAATTTCTGAGAAATGAAACCTCAAAAACGGACATCATGTCTCAAGTGAGAATTCGTAAAAGAAACATCAGTACAGATGGTTTGAAAATTAACTAGCAAAAAGGCGGTTTCACAATTGGAACTGCTATGCAAAGGCTCCCTGCCGCTGAAATTATATGAACCCCAAGAAGATACAAGTTAAGAAAACATAATGTTAGAGACAAGTTTCGTAATATTTAGAAACCTGTCATTTTTGGCAAAGAGCCTTTTTTTATAATGAATTGCTCTAAATGCCCCCCCCCCCTCCAGACGTTACGGAATGGATTAAAAGTTTAAACAACTGTACGAATAATGCATAATTGTTTTAACGAACATTAAGGTTTCAGTATACTTTTTGGTTTTTGAGTAAATATTCATTATACGTATATATAATTTGCTCACATATGCCAGTGAGATGAAAAACAACTTGTCAGGGTTGGACTCATTAAGGCATGGAAGTCGCTGCGGTTCTTTAGGAAACTGCATCAATAGTCGCCGATGCGCCTGTGAAAATAAATAACTGTTATATCCGTGTTTATTTTTTACAACTAAAATAATCTACAAATTCCAAATGTGCATAATATTTTATTACCCCGCATACGTACCACAAAAGCAGTTTCTAAACCCTTAATATCAGCAATATTTTCGTTAAGCGTTTCATTTTCATTGATCTGTTGGAAATTCATGGATATTCAGGTATTGTAAGTCTAAGAAAACAAGCATATAAGCAAACTTACTATACCTTCATGCAGGTTTCCTCTTCTATCTGATCTTTATACAGAGCCCTGACACAGTCCCCGCGTTTCTCAAACTTTTCCTTCGATTGCTCAGACCACCAGTACCGCTTGTTTCCATATTCGTCATAGTCACGTGCTAGATAAAAAAATATAATTTAAGTTGAATATAAACGGAATACTTACAACTTTACATACCTGGACCATAAAATGCGTGGTTAAGTTCGTGTCCTAATATCCACCCCAGTGTTCCCATTTTTACTGACCTGCAGAAGTTGGTGGCAAGAATAAATAAACCCAACGCACGTTCATTAGTTTGAGAGAAAACAGGCCAGATACTCTCTGAAAACACCTTAATCTAAACTCACGATGGAAGTCCAAAGGAGTAGAACGGGTGTTGCAAAATTACTGCCGCCAATACTGGAAGTGAAAAAGCAACAAAATATTAGTATCGTTTGCCTGCGCTATAAAACGCAACGAAATACTTTACCAACTGAGTTCTCCAGTGGCGAGTACTCCGCATTTACTCTGGTCAAGTCATGAGGCCATCTAGACAAAACATATAAGAGCCAACGTGGAAATCCAATTCAGTGTCATTGATCACCACACACAGCCATGGTATTGAACTGTAGCGGCACTTAGTTTAATCACTACAACGTGTCCAACAAATACTACAAGGCGATAATCAAATCAAGCATCTCCAACAACGCAAAGTCACGTCGTCTTTGATTGCGCGTGTCATATCCAAGGTATACAATAACAAGTCGTGCATGCGAGAAAGACGATCGACGCTCTTCCAGGCTGCATATCCGTGTTAGTATAGCTTTTTGCATTTTGCTTTGTTCTGACCTAAGGCCAAACAAATCAGAATTGCTAAGCCTGTAAATCGTAGAATATGTTCAAACAATTTGTAGCTCGCTGTGAATTAGACTAATCAAAATGTTAAACAAAAAACTTTTATGCCAATTTCTAGATATGCAAAACACTAGCTGTCAAGTGCATATAAATAGTGTCGGGAGAGTGTAGCTAAAAGAAATCCGAGAAACCACCGTGCTCAGGGTACAACAGCTGGTAAACGTTCGATGGGTTTTGGAAATGCGCGCAGGGGAAGCACCGTGCTCAGGGTACAACGTATTGGTAAACGTTCGATGGGTTTTGGAAATGCGCGCAGAGGATTTTTGTTTTTTAAAGTAAGGTATGGAGTAGTTTTTTTTCAATCAAGGAGGCTAATCGCTTAATTAAAATCAATTGTGATTTAATGCTTACTAAGGTCTCCCATTATGCGCCCTACAAAATTGTTCTGCCCGCAGTGAATAATACCCGTAATGCACTTATTGTTTATGCATTCCTTTTAATATTTCGTGCAAGTTCATATGTGAGCGGTCATTACTCTCGCTATATGAGGGACAAAAGTGCTCAAACCGTAGCCAACGCACGAAAATATTTGCGTCGTTTAGTCAGCCACGGTGTCCTACACTGTTAGAAAATTCCGTCAATCTACGTGGAAAAACCGAATAGAACATGTCCCGTTTTCTGGAAATGCATACAATGTGCTGTTTGCTTTCAAAAACGGGAACTGTACCATATGCATTGAAATGTGCTATTTAGGCAATAAGTATGAGCTTATCCGTATAAATAAAAAAAGCCTTACAAGACTACAGTTTATAGTCGGTTCAACTGGTTTAAGCGAATTGAACGCGCCCAAAAGTGCCGGATATCCAGCAATTTTTATGGAACTCTATCAGACCGCGGAAGTACAGTGCCCGTGAGCCGTGTTACGCCGCGCGCAGGAAGACATCTCCCACCCGCGCATGCGCAAGCCGCTGCCGGCCGGCGAGGGCCCGCGATCTGCGGAGTGCTGCTGCCCTTTCGGAAGGCGAGTTCGACGTTGTTATCGCGTCGTCAGAGGCGTTCAACGGGGCGTAGAAGGCTTTGTTTTCTAAGGTACGTATACGTTAAGTTGTTCCTAAAGCAGTGTTATTTTACTATCTCTAAGGGTGTCGTATATTCCAAGTTCGGGATGCCCAGCGTGTAGCGTCTCGTCTACCCAGCTGCATAAAGCGAGGCCTTTTATAGTTCCTGATTCGGGGCGGCATACTGCCCGACCCAACTTAGTAGTTGGGCACTAGGAGTGCACAGTTTCCGCAGTACTCCCGCATTATTATGCCAAGCCGCTGTCAACATGCGTGCTTCAGCGCGTCGAATTAAACTTGTTTCGCCGCCAAGTTCAACCTCACATGGTTCAAAGTTTAGCGCTTGATCCGGTGGGGGGGATGGGGCAATTGGAGGATGAGGGAAGATTGGATTAGAAGGCGTGAGCATTGGTCAGTTATGTTTTAAGGAACGAGTATTTTCATAAGGTCGAAAGCGTAATATATTCTCAATACAGCGTTTGAGAAACGGAGCTTGTTTTTAACTTACTTTTTTTTTAAATGCGTCTGAAAGTATAATGGAACACTGGGTTTCTCTGCTACTCGACCGTGTGAGCGATCTTGGCAGCTTGCTAAATATGCGGTGAAATAAGGGTGGCAGCTGCTTGATGCAGAGAAATAGTGCAGGCTTTTGCATCTTAGGAATAGTAACGCATTTTCGTGCGATATTTTGAGTCGCCCGGTAAACTTATCCGCGCTGAGCCAGTAATCAATCATTGTCGTGCTAATACTCGTGTGCGTGCCGCGGATGCTCCGGGCGTTTTGCGTTCTAAATTTATGCCATTTTTTGAGGACTGATATTTCCTAAATAACTTGAGCTTCTGATAAACGAATTTACTTCGAAATTACCCCGGTCGAGTTGAAACCTTTATTGTAATAGGTGGTATTCACTGGACGCCACATCGGAGCTCTCTGAACGCTGCGCATGCTCAGAGTGAACTCCCGCTTATGACCTGAGGACACCCTTTTTATGTAGAGTAATGCTACATGCACGACGTCGTGCAGCTCAACCGGAAGTCGCTATACGCACGACGCGCTTGATGTTCTTTCATTGGACGACCCGAATCCTGGCCATAGTGGCAGAGCTTCGCTCTGCCAATAAAAATTACTGCAGAGCCCTCAAACAAATATTTTCGCCCCATCATGATCTAACCAACCTCGCAATTCACGAGCTTGCTCGTGAATATGCGACCAGAGTCGCGCATTATGCATGCAGCCTCACACATTCAGGAGCATGCTCGTGAATTGTAATTAAATTTTGTATGTCAAGTTCACTTTTTTTTTTTTTTTGAGGATGGGATTTGACTTGTTTTCATCGCTTATCAAGTTCATTCACCTCAACGGAGTGCGATTTCTCCCTGTGAATTAAAGAAAAATACTGTATATATCACCGGAATAAAGCGATAAAATATGTTAACCGGAAGAAACTGAGAATCTCCTCCCCAGATAAAAACTGAAAAGGTGTGCCATGTTTGAAAACAATATAACTCCCGAAGCCCTAGGTATTAATGCTCTCAAACACAATTGCGATCATAAACGTTCGGTTCAGCGTTCCTTTATGACTAAAAAAATCAACTTTTTTTCAGGCAGAAGCATCTTCGACTGCCACTGGATGGCACCAGGTGCTTCGAAGGCGTCAGCTTCCTCTCTGCCATGGAGCGGATGTACACCACATACCTAAAGTACCCTGCTGAGCTGCTAGCAGCGTTGAAGTTCGTTTAGAGGTAACTATAGTGGTGCCTTTCAGTTATGAAAATGTGCGCTGTGAATTTGCTTTGCAAAAATGTATCGTATGGACAGTTCTAATTCCTTCAGGTGGTAGAATTGTCTAGTGGATATTGCATTTCATGATGAAATCAATAGGCGATTTTTTTGTCTGGGAAGCAGCAATAACTGCTAAATACTTTTTGACAGCGTTAATGACATAATAGGCCGTTAGCAATAAATTATGTAGCTAATCTGTTATCGTGTCCTTGCCAACATCCTAAGCAGTTTGGCATACTTTTGAATGATGGTGTGCTCTTCAACGTATTTCCGGCAAAGCCAATTTGGCTCAAAATTAGACATTTCGAAGACTGTAATCGACTTATTTTTCGCAAGAACCTAATTTTCGCGAATCGCCTACAATTTGAAAAAAAAGGTCCCGCGAACGATTCTGGTAAAATGTAAACAGATTGGAATCTATATTGAGATCCCACCGCATCGTGAAAATTAGAACCCCCAAATTATTCCAAAACTTCAACTTTGACCTCAGTCGCGAAATATTGAGCCCTCGAAACATATTTCGTTTACATTATATAATATGGTACAAGACAAAAAAGTTCAAATTCTGTTTTCATTTGGCAATGTGCAATGTTTCCGAAACTTATAGGAACACACCAACAGTTCATTAAATCGTAAAGGTGCTAACTTGTCGGTGGCTGAACGACAAGTATAACATGTTGCTTAATGCAACAATTTTGTGCGCTACGTCATGGATTGATGTAATCTCCAGAGGTAATGCAGTAGCGTGTTCCTTTGGTGAGTACTGTATATATACAGGGCGTTTTTTTTTATTCTTACAGATTTGTTTAAAGAAAGCCATGAAAGCTAGACTTATGCGGTTTCTGCGAGTGAGTTATACGCCAATGGGGACATTATGTGGGTGGCTAATCTTTGCGATTAGTCGGCTAATTAATTAAGATTTGTTAAATAACTTTTTAATTAGTGCAAAATAGACATATAGTTCCAATTAGAAACTTGCTGAGCGTTATCGAAAACCACTAAATCAGTCCTTTTTAGAAAGACTTTCAGCGCGTGAGAAGCGTAGTAGTGCATTTAAGTTACCACTCGTGGAGCACATACAAGGCTAGCTGTCGCTATAAGGCGCCTGCGCGATTTTTCTGTCTCTTATCTAGCCCCAGCCTTGTACCTGCTCCACGAGTAGTAACTTCAGCTCACTGTTGCTCTTTTTACGCGCTCAAAGTCTTTCTAAAAATTACTGATTTAGGGGTTTTGGACGACGCTCAGCAAATTTCTAATTGGAACAATATGACTATTTTCACTAATTAAAAAGTTAATTTACGAATTTTAATTAATTAGCCGACTTATCGCGAAGATTAACCACCCCCCTAATGCCCCCTGGGCGTATAACTCACTCGCACAAACCGGATAAATGTAGCTTTCATGGCTTTTTTTTTTAAACAGATCTGTAAGAAAAAAAAAAAAAAAAAACGCTTGGTGTAGCAGACGCATAACGATTCCTCAAACGTATTGCAGTATTCCCAGGTAGATATTAAGGGTTTCATTCAGCTTGGTCACACTTTCGCTGAGGCATTGTCAATTACATTAAACAAAGTGTCTAACTTTCGGCAGCAATTCACAAAGAAATATGTTTTGTAGAGCAGCATATTAGCGTTAGGGTTAGTGTTTGTTTGGCACGTTCAACAGCAACCTGGAACATGTTGTACCATGTTTTTGTTGAAACTTCGAACTAAGAAAGGCAAAAGCCTGATGTTAACGTGCTGTTTTCTAGACACCCTTCTTCACAATTCGCTTGAAAATATTCGTTGCTCAGATTAATTGGATGTGCTGCAGTAACTGCGTGACCTGCTCGGGAGGACCGTTTCTCTGTAAGTC